AGGTCGTTGTGTTCGCGCTTGCCCTCGTAGCCGCCGCGCTGCGCCAGCATCGAGCGGAACACCCTTCGGAAGTAGTCCGTCGTGTGCTTCGGGAAAAACTGGAACCTAAAACGTTCATAATTATCATCATTTCAGCCAAAAGACGTTCACAGCTGAATATGTATAGGCCTCCCCCAATATTATTAATAATAAATGGAATTTACTCACCACAAACATGTAGATACAGATTATGCTTACAATTAGGTAAAAAGTATGTGTTTTCTCAAAATTTTATACAGGATGGAATTTTGAAATGCCATCTAGAGGGAAAGTACTTACTTACCTACTCATAATACTGTAGATAGAAAATTTTACTCAAAGAAAACATTCCATTATTTTTGAAAAGACATAGAACTGCATTCAAAAGTTTCAAAAAAATCCACACCCGGGATTCGAACCAACTAAAATCTGTTAAAAATTACAGCCTGTATTTTTATTGAATCGATCGTTAGGGTTAAGTATAAGGATGAAATCTCTCTAACAAACTTAATAAATTAAATTAAGGGAAAACCATGAAATCTCAAATTATTTTAATTGTTTATAGAAAATTGTATGCAATGGTGGTGAATTTCCGTAAAAAATTAGAAAATCGTAGTGACACGTTACATATACCTACCTACCGTAGCGCTTTGGCAACGTGTGACTGCGGTTTTCCAAACATAAAATTACTATGCAACATTAGCAACTTTGTTCAGTTCAGTATTCTGAAAATCTTGTTTTATACTTTTTCAGCGTCGTTTTTTGTCGTAGTTGGGTTTTAGTTTTTACCTACATGTACGTTATCTCCGGAATAAATGAATAATGTTTACATAATCCCAGTTATAAACCTTATCCATATCTTTAAAGATAAGACAATTATTGCATGCATTTAACCTACTCGTATGATGATAATGATTCCTATCGGGTTGCACCGGCGATTATGCAAGTCATTGATTTTAGGTATAATATTTATGATACCTTTATCATTTAATTTTCTTTGTTATTATAAATACCTGAAAATATTCACGAGTTCGGGGAAGAAGAAAATGCTGCACCAGCTCAACCCTCTGATGAAGTCGTACTGCATGAAATCTTTGGTGATGGTCCTAATAGAACTCTCGCCAGTGAGCGTGGCGTTGCTGTCTACTCCGAAGGCTGCGATGCCTATAATGTCCGTTGTAAAGTCTGCGAACATAGTCTGTGAAATTTTTATTTGGGAACCGTTAATCAAAACCATCGTTTACATTTTAAAGAAAATAATTATACATGATTCCAAAATTGCAAGGCAATTTTAATCTTATTTCGGGTAAGAAAAAACATATTTACTCTGATTTCAATGTCTTTCTTTGCCACCATATCGTTGTGAATTCTCTGCGCCAGTTCCTTGGACTTGGCCAGCTTCAGGCCGTTCATGCTCTTCAGCTTCGAGGACGTGAACACGGGCGTCAGACGGCGCCGGATCATGCTCCACGCCGGGTCCTGTTGGAGGAATGTACTTATCATCCACCTCACCACCCAACTGATGGTCATCTAGTGAAGCTACTAAATGACTGATGATCAACTACGGCACAGTTCATTAGAAATTTCCTACTTCACAACTCCTTTGTGAAGGTACATCTACTACCACAAGTGTTTTCTACAGAGTACCGCAATAAACCCCACTGCGTTGCTCCTTTCAACACGATTTTTTTTCTGGTGATCCCTTACCATTCAGATGAATTACTTGTATTAAAATAGTTAACCAAAGTTATGAATGGGTGTTTTGTTTTGTCATATTAACTACTGTAATCTCTTTCATTCAATCAGTCTTTACACGAGATATTATTTAGACCAATAACAAACATTCTATTGTTTAATTTCATCAAAGGCAGGTGAACCTAATAACAAGCAAAAGGACTTACATTTGTAGTGAAAAGATTGAGACCTCCAATGGGATCCCCTTTTGAGATCCCCGTTCCCAGGAATCTGTTCCTGAAGTTGTCCGAGTCTTTGACAAGGACTCTGCGTGCGATTTCAGGGGTATTGATGATCAGAGCTGGTCTCCAGAACAGCCACATGCCCACGTAGGGCCCCTTGTACCGCTCGTACATTCTTCGCATCCATGACCCCTGCGAAAATACGTCACGTGACCATGATTTTAACCTTATCTGATAAAGGTTTCCAAGGTTATCACTGATTTATTTATAGAGTCGCTTCAACATCATTAAATAACATGTTGTGTCATATTTTCATTTCAAAATAATATTTACTAATAAAACTTCTTTTAGGGTTTAGAGTCGATTTTTATATGAAATCTTTTTGGACTCGTATTTTTACTTTAGTCAATTCTGAAATGGATTAGTGGTTTATACTGCCTCTTTTCCTTTTAAGCGGACTTCTAACTAGTAGCTTAATTATAACTCATAACATGATACCTATATCTAATTATTATTATGTTTTTGCCCACATTCTGGTACATAAGCTATTTTTATATTAATAAATTGTTACTTACTGGATTTTCTTGTGTTAAAAAGTCGAGGCTGCCGTATATGGGATGGATGGGGAGATGTGGTACGCCGCGGTCAGCCCAGAAGCGTTTGACCTTGGCCCAGCGCGTGTAGGCCCAGGCCAGCGCGAGGGCAAGGACGATGAATATGTACAGCCACATGGCTATATAAGGGCAAAAATTGCACTAAATACTGTCACTAACATGGCTACACATTATTTCGATCCATCATGTCCCAAATTGACTCATTATTTTGTACACCCTATATTCTAGACTCCAGGCTGTTAGCAACTAAATAAAGAATCATCAAGATAATAATTAATGATAATATTACATAATATTCCTTTGATATTTTTTAAATATATTACAAACTTCAAAAAACCTAACCACAGTTAAACCTAACTTAAATAATTTATCTTATTTATTAAAAAAGAATTAAGTTATGGGATTAAACTCAATTATACTTTTTAAGTAGGGTAAGTCCAGGATAGATGCCCCACTTTTTGAAACAGCTCTGTAACTCAGTCAGTAAGTTTCTATCAACAATTTGACCTTAGTATCTGTAAACTTTGGTCTTTCGTCTATGATATTACTATAATTATTTTAGTTTAAGTTATACCGATTCTGAGTAAATACCATTTTAATTGACCTCTAAAAAGTGGGATAGACGCCTAATGTGGGGGATAGAAGACTCACTGTATGATTGCTTCAAAGGATAGATGCCTGATGCAGGGATAGATGACTCGTTAATACAGTTTTTGAATTCTAAGGATCAAATGCATTTTGAAATCAAACAAGCCAAGTATTATTATTTAAGATTGTTTATTATGAATGAATTAAAAATGAAATTTAGTATTTAAAAAAATAGTACATAGTACATCCACCCGAAAAACATAACCCTCCTTCTAGCGCAGTCGGGTAAAAAGGTAATTTGATCAGAAGGGCACTCTATTATTACTTTCGTAAGGTTAGCCGTACTACATTCTTTTTTTCTTCTTAACTACTTGCTACTTGTGACAAAAAGAGCAGGTTAGGATAGATGCCCCTAGGCGCATGGGACTTGGCCCTAAGGGCATCTATACCCAAAAAAAATTAGGCAACTATCCTTTTAGCATAGGATAGGTGCCTTTTTTAATAAAAAATATAATAACACTAAAAATATAATTAAACATGGCTATCCCGTCTAATTTATAAGATAGTCTATCAAATTATATAAAAATCTGCTTCATTTTACAGCTGACAAAAAAATTATGCATTAAAAGATACTTACCAATTTTATTCCGACGCTCGCTAATGTTTGGCCGCGGAAGATTTTTGCTCTCACTGGCTAAATGAACGCACTCTTTGATGGTTTGCGAGGCGAAAAGTGGTACGGGGAGGTCCCTTTCTATTATACGTACTATAACTTTAGGCTAAGTTGCTTGTAATATAGTGTACTTAAAATCGCGGCACCTATCCCACTGGGGCATGTATCCTGGAATTACCCTATAAAAATACATTTCTCTCTTACCTTTTCACTCTTTCACTTCACAATTTTTTAATTATTTTCGGGAAAGATCTCTTCAACTAGATTTCTCCAACTGTCTTCGCGCATACACAAAATAACGACTATGTTTCTACTAAATAAGCTATTGCGCCCCTACGGCCAGAGACGAACTGAACCACAACATGTTGACTTGATCCCCACCGGTGATTAATGGTTCTTTTGCATTATATTTGTATTTATATTGTACATGTACCTAATCATTGTTATACTCGATGACTTGTCATTACTTTTGCGTTGTTATCGTGTTACTGTCGTGTGATTTGATGTGTTTATTTTTCTTGATTATTTGTTGTTGATAAAATATGCAAATGATTGATGAAATTCTTCAAGATAAAATAGATATTTATTTATTTTAGGACAACCAAAGCATAATCTTACAGTAGGTATGTACCATAATAATAGGTATGATGATAATATTGTGATGGATTGATTAACATACAAATACTCTTGTACTATCGAATTTGGGTTACAACGGCAACTTGTGCAGGGACCTACTTAACTAAACAAGCATAATATTGTGCCTTATTATGCAAATAGAGGAATATTATCTTAATATAATATCTTAACATTGTCAGTCTCTACAATTTTTGTATTGATGCAGTCTGATCAGGCGAGCAAGAGCAAAGAACGCAAATCGCATCGCTACAGATTGCCTTGTCACGAACGCTGACTGACTGTCCTGACTGACAATATTGTTCATAAATAGCTTAAGCTCTCTCACTCAGCCCTCAGAGTTCACTTTGAGCTAATCGTTGCCCTCAGAACGCATCCAGTGTGCGAAATCCTTTATTCCGCAACCGATAGTTTACCTATATTTAGTTTTAATACGTTTTATCCTTGTATAGCCTACATGGTTGTCTTGTCTTATTAGTTTTCCAAATAAATAAATACAATGTACCTACAAATAATATTATTATAATCCTTGAACGTTGAGCATACATCAAATGAATGTTATTCTCTTAGTATAAAATCAACGGTCAGTTCTTCTCCAGGCATGAGGAACAGCGCTCTTCTCTCGGGTTCGATCAGGTCTGGGGTCTTCGCGTTGGGTTTTGGCTTGACTTTGTATTTTAGGAATATCGAAGATAACGCATACCATAACACTCAGTACGCATAACGGGTTCCTGTAATAAATAATAGTGGTGGATTTCTATTCCGTTTGTTTATCGACCTAGCCGGTGGCAATATTTCTAAATCGCTATTATTTGCTGAAGAGTCTCTTACCAATGCAATTTCTAGGTCCTTGCCCAAATGGCATGAACGTAAACGGTTTAATATTTTGTTCTCTTTCGGGTAGGAATCTGTCAGGATCAAAATTGTCAGGGTCTGGGAAGTATTCTGGGTCGTAGTGCATTCCCACGACGTTAACGTAGACGGGCATGCCCGCAGGAACGGTTAGGTTTTCGTCGATTTGGTAGTCTTTGCTTGCGAGGCGGTCCAGCCAGCCCATCGCCGGATATTTGCGAAGCGCTTCTACAAAATAAACAGTAGTCATTCCCATTATCAGATAATTACGTCGTTACGTTATAATCACTTGCATAATGGCATCATTATCAGTCGATCCCAACACATTGTATCCAAATACGACACGTCATTTAATAATCACACTCCTTCTGAAGTCAGTATGCAATTTCATAAATCGGTGGCTTCCGAAAATTATAAATTCAACAGTGTGTCTTGCACTCATTAGGCATTGATAGCTTACTTTTTCAAATTACATAATGTGTAATACATGATTACTTTGAAAGATACCATTAATGACACAATTCATGTAGGTTAGTTCAGAGAGAATATTTCCATCCAAATCATTGCCGTCGTTACGTTGTCTCGCCTCCAACAGCTCATTATACAGTTTGTCCTGAAAAAAGAATTGATGTTTATAATTATATCACATTTTGAAAATTGACTGTAAATAATTATTTATATACGGCATTACCTGTATCTCTGGCTGGAAGGCTAGTTCATATGTAATGTAAGTGAGCATCACCGCCGAGGTATCGAATCCAGCCTGAACGAATGTCAAAGCTTGTGCTAGGACTAGATTTTCATCCATTGCTGTAACATGTAGATGTATTTCTACATTACTTTGATTCTTTACTATTAGCTAATTAATATATTATTTTCATAATATAAAAGAGTTGAAGTGAGCTCCTCGTACCTTCTCCCTTCAAGTCAGCCTGGTGCTTCATCTTCAGGAGCGCGCCGAACAGGTCGTGGTGCTCGGTCCCGGCGTACCCGCCGCGTTGCGCCAACAGACTGCGGAACATTTTCTTGAAGTAGCGGGTAGTGTGCCTTGGGAATAATTTGAATCTGGAAGATCAGAATTTATCAACACCAGGCATATCAATTGACCATTCAATTTATAAAGATAAATACCTAAAGATATTCACGAGCGTAGGGAAGAAAAAAATGCTGTACCAGCTGAAAGATCTAAACAAGTCGTACTCCATAAAGTTCAGGGTGATGGTCCTCATCAAGCCCTCGCCAGTGAGCGTGGCGTTGCTGTCCACTCCAAAGCCGAAGATGCTGGTTATGTCTGTAGTAAAATCAGAGTAGACAGACTGAAAAAAAGCGTTGTAGTTTTGAAGTCAATTATTTTACATACAGTAGCTTTGTAAAGGAATTTACTCTTATTTCGATGTCCTTCTTTTGCGCCAACTCCCTGTCGATTCTCTGCACCAGCTCCTTTGACTTGACTAGGTTGAGGGTGTGCATGCCCTTCAGCTTTGCTGACGTGAACACGGGTGTCACATGGCGTCTAAGTGACGACCACAGTGGGTCCTGTAAATGGACCAATAAATGCACTGCATTCTGTTTTGTCACACCTAGGTACAATATCCTATACAAAAGTACTGATGATGATACTGATACCTTTGATAATAATATGATGTGCACCTGTAGGAATTTAATGGATTTTTGTAGACTGGAATTAAGACTGGGCCAATTTGAGAAAACGACTTACGTTAGCAAGGACTAGACTGAGACCTCCAATAGGATCTCCCTTCGTCGTCCCCGTGCCCAGAAATCTGTCTCTGAAGTAGTCTGAATCTTTGACCAAGACTCTGCGGGCTATCTCCGGTGAATTGATGATCAGAGCTGGTCTCCAGAATAGCCAAATGCCAGTGTAAGGAGATTTGCGGTCGTAGAGTCTTCGCATCCATACTGCCTACAAAAGGTTATTTAGGTTATTTATAAAATAACGTAGAACACAATTACCTATTGTAGATATGACTTCTCATATCATATACCTAAATATTATATCCATAGTATGCATATAGATACAATAGTGAGGAAGAAAATATTTCACGTTGTCCTTATTGCTATAATATGCTTGGCGGATTCATGGGTTCATGTGATATATTATTCATTAAACAAATAATGAAAAAATATAGTTTAGATGGACACTTGCCGGGTTTTCGTGATGTAAGAAGTCAAGGCTGCCATACAGGGGATGCGCACGGAGGTGCGGCACGCCAAGCTCGGCCCAGAAGCGCTTGACGCGCGCCCAGCGGGTGTAGGCCCAGACCAGCGCGAGCCCTGCGATCATGAGTACCAACTGCCACATAGTAGTTTCTCGACACCTAAATAAAGATTCTATTAAATCATCATTATGATAGACGTATTGTGACAGACAGCCACATGACTGTTCAGGACTGAGAGGAAGGAGTAGATATCACATAATTTTATTTCATAATTGGTGTTCCTTATCCTGCCTATTGGTTTAGAGTTCTCTTTGCAGTTGGCACAGAGTGATGAGCACTTTGTTCTAATCTTCCCACATCCACAACCACCTGCAAAATTCCTTTTTGCATTTCACAAAAAAGTTTAAACGTCCTACCTACTTTGTTCAACATTTACTTAGGAACTTGGATTTGGTCTTATAGTATGCATGCAGGATTACATGGTCTACAACTGGTAGGAAGATAAGTTTTCGATATTGTAAGTCCTATACGTGATATTATAACCGTAAAGCTGCAAAATTGCCTCTTTTCGGTCCTCCCTACTACTTAAACACACCTCCGCCGCAGAGGAAAACTTAGAATAGTCATATTGGACAACAAATAAAGGCAATAAAACCATAAAAGCTTTTGTAGGAATTAAATCCGAATTATAGTATAATTCTATTGGCCTATAACATCTAAAATGCCCAGACATATTCATTAATTAAAATTTTCAAGCTCACACTAAAATTTTACGTGATTATTATCACGTAAGCTACACATACTTATTTCAATGACTTCAGACAATAACTGAACTTCGCCACAGCTTGATCCATAATAAGGATTGTAATTAGACAAACAGTAAGTACCCATGATAGTTACATGAATTTATTGCCTTTTGTGTTTTGTATAATTAAATCAATACATTAATTAACTCCTCATTGTCATTTATATGTTTTACGCTTAATTATTACCTTATTAACAGGTAGTGATAGATAAGCTACAAGATTATAGTTGTAGGATGTTGTATAATGCTGCAAAATGTTTTGCGCAGTTCCCGCATTTATAAAAATCGAGTACCTAATACAATTCGATGGGTGCCTGGAATAAAGCCGCAATAGCCATAGCAGCAGTTTTCCGATTAAGCGATTTTCGTAATCTGGGGGTCCCTATACACCTTGTGATTTTTTTTCAGAATTTTATCTTTGAAACTGGCTGATTTACCAAAAGCACTATGGATATTGAATCGTTATTCCCGGAAATTTGTTTACGAGAATAATCGTGGCATGTTCAATGTTAAAAGTTTTATTTCAAACTTCTACAAGTAACGGCCATTGCGGCTTTGTTCCCCGAAACAAACTATGTGTACCAAGTCACAATAAACATTACCTACTTGTACAATTTCTTTAAACTTTCTTAAGTAATAATACTTCATGGTGTTCTTCTATGCAATAAAAATATGTTGATTGGATTTACATTAAGCAATGCTGTGTACCTACCTGACAACTGCTGGACTGGAACACAGTAATGCTGTCAACATTATTGTTATGGCGACAGACTTAGGAAGATAAAGGGGACTTAGGAAGAGAAGAAGGAGGGATATTTGGTTTATGTTCATTAAAGCTTATTTATAATAACAATATGTTTCGGCATTGGAGGTAGGAAGCCATAGTTTCTCTGTAGTTGAAGTTTCCTTCTACCTTGAGCCTGATCACAGTTTCCACCAGGTGTGATAAAGGGCAAAAGCTTCCTTGCTGAGAATAAAAACATGTTCTGTTCAGTTATTGTCTCTAAATCTGTTCTACGTAATGTAAACTTAGAAGATTGCCCATATTAATTCACTTTAAGAAAGTCAAAAACATTTAGCGACTTACCACTTTAGTGGAGCGATTACAAAAATAGTGGCCTATTAAGTACATGTTTTTTTTGTATTATTATGAATGTCCAGAAAACTGCGCAGTTTTTAAAATTATTTTAGACCTATGAAAGTTCTCATTTTTTATTATTTAAACATTTAAGTTGAAATTTTGAGAATGTTCTGCTAAAAGCATTTTTTTTATGTTTCTAGCAAAAATTTTGAATCTTGCATCAAAGATAGGAAGGTGAATATTTTTTTCAAACATTTGCAATTAATAGCGATATTGTCAAAATAAAGAAATCTGAGATAAGTCAACCCGAAATAAAGATAAGTTTTTTTAAAGCCTACTAGGTCATGAAATTGAAAAAAAGTTACAAAATTATTGATAACTTCTAAACTACGAAAAAGCCGCGGGCAAAAGCGTGTAATATTATAATATTATCATTATGTACTAATGAATTCCACTACTTTATATAAAGATATTAACGAAACACTCTAGATATTCAACTTTGTACTCATTTCGATACGGACCATATGAACATATAATGTACACAGCATTCACCAGTACATTTTCCAAGTCGATCATTAAATTCAAGCAAACCGCTATTACTGTATTCGCCATACATCCTTCAGATCAGCGCACAACGCTGCAATGCACTATTGCTGTATGATTACTTTTGCACTTTTTACCGGAATAAAACCACAATGGACTCTTACGGAACCGACTTTCAAAGTATGAAGCGGCAATATGTATTTCTACCTTTTTTAAGGTATATTCTATGCACTATAACCTTATGCACATTATATGTTACTCCAGAAAAAATAACGCATCGTTTGATATACAAACCATTTGGATACGCCTCGTAGTTTAGTTATTATTAAAAAAATTCACTAAATCTCTTCTCCTGTAAAATTGTGTTTTGTCGATTGCGGCTTTATTCCAGGCACCCATCGAATTAGGTATTATTATTATAAATTGAACACAATAAACTCAAAGCAATGTTTTTACTTTGTGAAACATAACGGATTGAGCCGAATACTGTTTATTTCTGACTAAATAAACATATTTTTAATACTAATTCCAAAACGCAGTATTTATTACTCCCGCGCAAATTGCAGCTTATTAAATTCCATGATACGATCCTTTTTTGTTTCCACTGAGTTATTATTATTTAATATCTGACGTCACCCACGTCGCATTCTACGAAAAAAGGATAAATAGCTGTTAAAATTCTATTATTCGGGAGCAGGAGCGTTGTGAAATACTTTTCAGCCGTGACAAATTGTTCGAAGATTACACTTCCCTAATTTTTTTAAGCATGCCTTACAGGGGGGGAAAGCCTCTAAAGAAATTCGTACAAACGAAGCCGAGTATTTCGCGCTCTCGATTTTCTTTTTTGCGTGTTGTTTGGATTTAAGCCCTAATGTTTAGATAAAGGACTGCGTACACCGATGACGGTTTCTTAGTAGATACTTTAAGCGATATTTATTAAATACTGTAAAAACACAGCTTTCAATTTAACAGTTAATTCAAGTTACAAATAGAACATCAATACTGTCCCAATCCAACTGTGATGATACCAGAAATGTAATGTAATATTCCACAAGGGAATAAATACATTAGGTGTTTATTGGACAGCCTTTAGACCTAATACCTATTTGGAAACAAAATAATAAAACTCTCAAATTTTGAATAAAAAATAAAACACTACATAAACTCTTCAATTGAAATCAAGGAGCTGAATCCTCTATTTGTGAAAATCACGATAAATAAACTCTACAATAAAATTTACGATTGCCGACTAGTCCTAGTCCCGATTGTGTGTATGGATGGATCTAGAACATCTGGCAAATCTCGTTTCCACTTATACCTCACGGCTCATCGGCTCCCTTGAGCCGATTCTCTTTTACAGCTAGGGATGTTACAGGATAACATAAAAATCGATTTCTTAACACACACAGTGAAATAGATTGAGTATAGAATATCCATTGATAAAAAGAAGCATATTAAGAATAAATAATATAGTTTCGTAGATAACAATTTGACTGTCGTTTTGAGTGACAAACTTAACCCCTTTTTTATTTTGATTGAAAACTTTATTCGCGTTTCTCCTTTTTTCCATAACCGATGATGAATCCCCACCTCTATTTACTGGCATGCCCGTATACAATCCGGACAATGGCGGCGGCTAAATAAAGTCTCTATTTACCTATTTTACGGTCTCGCTAACTCGAAAGCCGCGCCGGAAGGAAGGCAGCGTTTGGAGCGATTTATCTCGAGGCAGACGCCGTGTGGGGGACGCCGGGATGCGTCCGCGCCACCCGCCCTAGTGCGCTGGATGTACCACCGCGGTGTACCACAAGGGGTGGTGGTTATTTATCATTTACTAATCTACGAGATTGGTATCTCGTATACTGGCCATATTGGCCCAGTGAAATACATCATTTGCGAGTATATTATGGACTGCTATATGTAATTACTAGCGGCCGCCTGCAACTAAGTACGCGTGGATGCCGTTTTACCCCATTATGGCCTACTTCATAACATCTACCTGCATGCCAAATATCAGCCCGATCCGTCTATTGGTTTGGGCTGTGCGTTGATAGATCACTACGAGTATGTCAGTCAGTCACCTTTGAGTTATAAATATTTAGATAAGGACAGGAAAATAAACTTTAGAGATGAAAGTATTTTGTTCAATAAAGCCCCCCTCCACCAACCTTTGACTATATTTTTGTAACCGCAATTTCATGTCGATCTAATCTTTCTCCATAACTTTGAAGTTACCTGCACGTTTATCCATTTCGTCTACCAGACTTCATTTTCAAAACGTTCACTGTTTTCCACAACAACCGGTCCTGCTTACACTAATAGAACTTTAGTAGAAACAAGTGGCTGACTATCAGTTCATATAGTACGCATGAGCCACTTCTGGCCGCTCTACAGCCGCGCGCAGGCGGCACAGAACAAGCGAACGCTTTGTAGCACGAAAAAAGATTAATGGCGCCAAATAGAAATGTTTTGAAGTGGGCCAAAGGCTTCGCTTCATCAGGCCCACGGGCTTTTTGTACCTACGCTCGTAAAAAGGCTGTCGGGATCTCGGAAATTGTTATTACAGTCTTTGTTATACACGAATAATAATTCATATCATCATTAGGTCCAATAAATGTTCTAATATCATGTCTTAAACTATTTAATTATATATAGTAGATACTTGTAGTAATTTATAAACATGCTGTTACATTTACACATGTAGATAAAAGATAAACCTACACGGCTCGG